CCCTCCAGAAGTCAACACACAGCAGTGGCAGGTGTGTGACAGAAACAAAAACTACAATATTCTATACTAACTTTGAAAAGCCAATACATGCTCAAAACAAAATTCCTTTACTGTAACTTCCTTTGTGATAACCCACTGCATAATTTAAGTGTTCTCAAATTCCCTTTAAGCTGAGTACTAAGTACTTTGAAATTTGTTCTGTAGTTAGATTAACAACTAATTCTCTTGAAAGACCTGAAATTTCTCTCCGTTATCTTAAAGACTACACATTTCCTTGGAACATCGTGTAAACTTTCCTCAATACCAGTGTCTCAACCTTTTACTGACCACCCTGGCCCTATCTAATCCTATTTCCTTCATTTGGCCCCACCTTTACCTGTGGCTCCCATGAAATAGCCTAGGGTCCCCAATTGAGAAATGATGCTCTACATGACTAGAAATTGAGTGATTTACTTCCAACTTCTATTTAAAATCATATATACCCACATCTATGGAAGCTGCAATACTATTACAGAGCTTAACATATTATCGATTTTTTAAATATTTTCATTATTTCAGATGGGCACAGCAGGGCTTTCCTTCTGTTTGACTGGGGAGGGATTAAATGAAAATGTTCTGGGACTTCTGTCAAAATGTAAAATCACCTTTCTTTCTTTCTTTCTTTCTTAGCACCTAAAAAGGCATCTGAGGTCTGGAAAGATATCTAAAGAGTGCAGAACGGACTAACAGCGCACATGGAATACTATGCAGCAGTCAGGAAAAAATGAAGTCATGAAGTTTGTCTATAAATGGATGGACGTGGAGAGTCTCATGCTGAGTGAAATGAGTCAGAAGGAGAGGGACAGATACAGAAGGACTGCATTCATTTGTGCTACATAAAAAAATCTATATATGGTAGAAGACTTATCTATGGCCAGTGAAAACAGGAGTTAGGAGGACTGGTCAATGGTTGGGATCTACCACAAGTGTGTATGGGGTGGAAGGTAGGTAAGATACAAAGACCAGTAAGACAACACTAGCTGGGAATGATCTCGATGGACAAGATCTTGGTAACCTTTCAGTATCCATACGGTAAGCCACATGCCCAAAAGGAGGGAGGGAGAAAGGGAGTGGGGGGAGGGGAGGGAAGGGGGGGGACAGGCAGGGGGGTGGGGCGGTGAAGGGAGGGAACCTGGGGACACTGGTACTGGGAAATGTATGGTGGTGGAGGAATGGGTGTTGGAATACTGTATCACCAAAACCCAATCACAAAAAGCTCTGTAAAGGTACAGCTCACAGTAATTCAATTTAAAAATTTTTTTAAAAAAAGTAAAATAAATAAAAATAATGAATGAATAGACTGAGTGCATACTTTGCACAAAGACGGCCAAGATCTGATCCCAGGCACCACTGGTCTCCTGAACACTTGGCCAGAAGTCACCTTTCACCTCCACAATGTGGCCTAAAAACCAACCAAAAGGGGGATGACAGAGGGGAACACTAGTATAAATTAAGCTCATACACAAGGTAGAAGAGCTCATAAGAGCAAAATTTTACATAAAACTCTATTCCCTTACCAACTGTTTAATAACATTTAACAATACCACTATTTAGGTATTTTTAATGATGCAGAACATATTTAGAAAATTATCACTAGTTTTAAAAATCCTAATTTTAAGTTAAATCTTCAGCTTTTTACTGATTACAATTACTTTATAGAGTAAAACGCATGGTTTCAATCGAAACGTTAATTGGGATTAGAACATTGGGTAACTTGATAAATAACCCAACTACCAAGCCCAAAACTGAAATCCTTCTATGAAAAACACGTGTAGTCAAATGTATGCCTATGTAGAGGAGATAAGGAAAGAATCACGGGTGCCTTAAAACAGATCAGTAAAAGAAAAAAAAAAAGTCAGCAACTGTCCAAAGTGTTTTTACTAAATCATAAATCATCTTTATTCTTTAAAAACTTGCTTAAAATTGGGCTCGAGAAATAGTAAGGCACTTGCTTTGTATGCAGGGGACTTGGATTCAATCTCCAGTATCCCCGTATGGTTACCCAAGCACCAAGAGTGAGCCCCTGAGCACCACCAGGTATGGATCTAAACCAAAACTTACTTAAAATCAAGCTGCTGCTCCACTAAATGAAAAGTGACCCTGCCCACTCTACACTATGATTCTACATACGGGACGCCCAAGAGAAGGCTTAACTCTAGCAGGGCAGAAAACAAACCGTGGGACTTAGGAGACGACTAGAAGAGGCACGAGAGAAATCCAGGGAATAGTGGACCTCTTTCAGTGTGTTGGTTATAAACTGTTCACAGCTGTCAACATTCCTACAATGTCGCGTGATTTCACTATATGGAAATTACTGGTGGAGCAATGGGTGTTTGATCATTGTGATTGTCACCCAAACATAAAAGCATGCAACTATCTCACGATAAAGGTAAAGGTAAAGGCCCTCCCGTTGATCGTCGATTTGCTCGAGCGGGCCCAGTAACGTCTCCATTGGAGACTTTGTTGTTACTGTGTCTGGCATATCGAATACTCTCGGTAGCTTGCCGGGCTCGAGCAAATCGCCGATCTCACGATGATTCAATAAAATAAATAAATAAATAAATAAATAAATGAACTGTTAGTGCAGAAAGCCAAACTTTTTTCCAAGTGGGCAGTTTTAAATATTTTAAAAAAAAAATAGATAGTCGGAGTAATCGGTGAAAGTTCTGACGTGCAGGCTGAATGAGTAGGGCAGATTTCCCCAACACCAGGGCACGAGGCCGCTGGGATGGGGCCCAAACCTCTTGGGTGTGACATACACAGTGAAGACCACTGAGACTCCCAGTTCCTTGTCTTACATAAAGCAGAACCTGGAAGATTCATTCAGAGATCCACTGCGAAGTCTCGAGTTCGAGGGCAAATCCAGGGCTCTTCCTACCTCCTGTTCAAGCTTCTTTCTGTGGACCATAATTTCTACAAAATGCATATACAAATGCATTACAGCAGGATCTGAAGTTTCAAAGGCTCAAGTGCAGTTCTCTTAGGAGACAAAGCTAAGGGCCTTCCCTACCCTCATTATAGGAAGGCATCAGTTTTGCTAGATAAAAAACACAAAGAGGGTAAAAGCTGAAATAAAATCGGTCGACAGATTGGAGGACGGCTAGGAAACCAATGCTTCCAGAGTTCCAAAAAGAGGAACATCTCTTTGCTCCTTATCGTGCACCCACCCACAATGAGAAACCAGAGCCTAAAGCAGAAGCTACCAAATGATCTTGAGGCCCTGAGAGATTATTTTCAAGCAAGGCACCCGCAATAAGACACACTAGACTAAAAGAAATGGCATTCCCTCCAGTATCTACATGTCAGCAATGTCAGTGGGGGGAAAAAATGACTATCTTCATTACACACGAAAATCTTAAACGGTTGGGGGGGGGGGGGGGGCGCTGGTGCAAGTAAACCAGGTTGTGGGTAAGTCAAAGATCGGCTCCTGTGCGTTTATGCCACAAGAGCCACCCGCACTCGCTCCCCACCAGGCCTGTGACAGGGGCCGAAGTCAATAAAATAGCCCGATTCCACTCGGGCCCTTCCCCTTGGGCAGTCTTCAAAGCTGCACTCCCACCTGCAACTTGCCGGGGAATTAAGGGGCAGTTGCCACCGTGCTCTAGATTTTCCTTCCACGCTGGCCACCTGGGTGCAAGCACCGTCAAGTGGGAGAAGTTCAGCCAGACCCTTTTCGACGCCAGACGGCCCGGGCTCCCCGCAGTGCAATTCGAGCCACGCAACCGTCCCACCAAGTCGATGCCGGGCGTTTCGAGCCCACGCTGCAAATGCCAACCCAGCAGCAGCTCCGGCCGCGGACGTAAAAGTCCCCCTGGGGGACAGAGGGGGTCCGCTGGGGTGAAACCCAAGTCGGTCCTAGCGGCCACCAGCCTCGCGGGACTGGGAGGCTGGCTCAGCGCGGCTGAGTGACAGGCGACAGCTGGGGCGCTCCGCTGCGCTCTAGCCGTAGCCGCGTGCCACGCTTCGGGGAGGGCAGAGGGGAAGGGGTCGCGGCCGGAGGAGCCCGGCTGCGCGGGTCTCGTCGCTGTCCCCTGCAACACCCGACCCCCTCGCTCCCGGCCCCGGGACCCCCGTAGTAACGGGGCTCCCTCTTCGCGGACCGAGCTGGTCGAAACTCGCGGGCCGGGGGGCGGGAAGCCCACGCGCCCCCGCAACCCCGGGCAACTCGCACCCGAGACACCAATCTCCTGCCCCCCGCCCGCCCGCCCCCCGGGCGCAGCCCCCGCTTCCGAGGGTCCCCCAAACGCCCCCTCCTCTCCTCCTTTTCCCCCTCCCGGAAACCAGAGGGGGGCTCCAGGCGCCGCCCCGGTTCCCCAGGCCGCAGAATCCTCATCAGCCCGCCGCTCCTCCCAAGATTTTGGGTTTTTCTCGTCCTTTTTTTGTTTGTTTGTTTATTGGGGGGAGGGGGTTGTGTCGTTCTCCTTCTCCCCCTCCCCCCGCTCTCCCTCCTCGACCCGAACCCACCGTCCCCGCCGCCGCTTCCCTTTTCAGACAACTCAAGTGGACGAGCCCCCCCCCACGAGGGTGGATTCCTGGGATTCCGCGGGCGGGGACGGGGGTCGCGCCGCGGGGCGGGGGGCGGGGGGCGGCCCCCCGAGACCCCCCCCTCCCCGCCGCTCGGGCCTGCTCCGCCCCGCCCGCCCGCGACCGAGGCCCCTCCGGGGGGCGCCGCCGGCCGCGACCCACGGGCCGTGGCCAGGCCCCACGGAGCCCGGGCGCCCCCGAGACCGTTAAACCGCGGTCCTCCGGACCCACGGACTCACGGACCGACGGACGGACGGACAGGGGGGCGCCGCCGGGACGCCGCCGCCGTCGCCGCCGCCGCGCTCGGCCCGGGGTCCCGCGGCCGGGCCCCTCCGGGGGCTCCCCGGTCCTCCCCGCGGCGCGGCGGCCCACCCGCCCGCCCCCCAAGCGCGATCCCGGCCCCGGCGGCCCCGCCGGCGCGGCCCGGCGCTCGGTACCTTGTAGAAAGCCCCGTTGGAGCCGCGAACCTCCACCGTCAGCTCCGCCATGTTGGAACCGCAAAGGCCGCCGGGAAGAGGTTCTAGAAACTTTCCGCGCGGGGGGGGGGGGGGGGAAGAGGCGGGCAGGGGGCGGGGCGTCGGAGAGGCGGGGGAGGGAGGGGCGGGGACAAAGGGGGCGGGGACCGCGGGGGCGGGGACTGCGCTCGCCCCGCCCCTCCCCGCCCCGCGTCGCTGCCCCGGGCTCCTCTGGCCGCGCCGCCGCCCCGAGCTTGTCTCCCGCCCGGGCGGCCCCGGGCTCCGCGCTCGGCTCCCCGCGCTCGGCTCCGCCCCCCGTCGCCCCCAGCCGCCCGCGCCCCGGGCGCCCCCCGACACAATCGCCCGACGTCCCCGCCCCCCGCCCCCGCCCCCACCCTTGGCCGCGCGTCGGGGCGGGGCGTAAGCCCGCCGCCTGGGGTCTTTTTAATTTTTTTCTTTTTTCTTTTTTTTTCCCCAAAACTCAGTCCTCGCCTCCCCGATTCTAGGATCCCGCGCGCGCCTCGCCCAGGCCAGGTCTGGTGTGTGTGTCCCCTCGCCCCCACCCCCAACCTGCTGAGCAGCCGGGAAGCGGGACTGGCCGGGTCTCCCTCGCGATGCCGGGGCAGGTTCCGCACAGAGGCCCGACACAACCACCTTCTCCTGCTCTTTCTCCAGCACCTCCATCGGGAAGGTGCTGCGCCTTTCTTTGGACCATTCTTCGCCTTTTTTTCCCCAAGTCTTCGGCGATGACGGGACTCCAGCCCACTGTGATAGGAGGACGGACTTAGCAGAGAAGTTGAGGCGGGGAGAGTTCGGATCCTGTTTGGGTTGGTTGGTTGGGTTGGTTGGTTCTGATCCGGGGCTCACATCCGCAGTCGGCAGGATTTAGCCTTGGCTTGGCACCCCGGCAACTCTAGGGGATGCATCAATCAAACCCCAAAACCCAGGTGGGCCACGTGCAAGGAAAACACTCCATGAGCCGGACTCTCTCTCTGCCTCCCCACCTTTTGGGGGGCTGGGATTCTCCGTTCGTTCGTAAGACTATGACATGGGCCCAACTTGGCTGTGGACAGCGGACCTTTCAAGGTGTATGTAAGGGACCGGAGAGATAGCACAGTGGGTGGGAAGTTTGCCTTGTACGCGGCCAACCTGGGTTTGATGCCAAGCATCCCAAATGGGCCCCCCAGGCCCACCAGAATAATCCAGAGTGCAAAACCAAGCATCCCCCAGGTGTGGCCCAAAAACCGAAACAAGAGGTCATAAACAACAAAGAGCCTAAAATAACCCCTTGTTTAAACAATAATCAAAAAAAGCTCCACCAAAAAATAAAAGTGAATTTTTTAAAAACTCCCATCTTCTGCACTGATTGGCACCATAAAATGCCAGTGAATTCACGTTGGGAATTTCATGCTTGCAGTCTAGTATTGTAAACTCGGCTACATCAAGAGTCATAGGGATGATTCAGGCATCATTCCATCTGCTTTACTATCTTTGCAAGTACGGACTTTCAGCAGTTGAGATAAAGTAAAATTCAATGTGGAGCAGGAAATCACGGTGGTGACGTCCACTGAGATTCCGGTAGAAGCATGAAGTTGTAAGCGAGTGGACCGCTTAAAAATCGATGGATCAGGGAGGAGAAATAGTGCAGAAGGCAAAGTGTGTGTCTATCTTGCATGGAGTTGACCTCAATTTGATCCCTTGTACCAGATAGGGTCCCCTCACTACCACCAAGGGTCATTTATAAGCACAGAACGAGGAATGGCTTCAGAGTACCTCCAGGTGTGGACCAAAAGTCAAATAGATTAAAATAGCTTGCAGTGACTTTACACTTACTCCTTTTCAAATATCGATTAAATAGGACATTAATGTTTCTTGGGCTGAAGAAGTAGTACAGAGGTTAAGATGCCTTGCTCACAACCGACCTTTATTCCATCCCTGGCACCACGTAAAGTCCCCCGTTCTGCTGGGTGTGACCCCCCCAAAAAAATAAAATTAAAAAGAGAATCAACAAGACTGAAATAGTAATTGATAACTAGCCCCATGGAGACAGGCAGGTACACAGGGATGAGACACTGGTACTGATTTTTTCAAGAAATAGTAAAACAAAAATGTGATTTTAAAAAGTTGCTAAGTCATCAGCCCCGAAATAAACCCCAAAGCGTGGAGTCACCACCCAGTTGCAGAAACCTAGGTATCACTCAGAAAAGGATGGACCCCCCACCTCCCCCAGGAAAAGAGAAGCTTCAAGATAAAGGCCACAATAAAAATATGTAAAAGACTATCGAGGTTTCAAGTTTCTGCATCTCAACTTAGAATGTGTTCTTTCCTTCCCTAGCCTAGGGAAGCTCGGCATTTCTCTTGAGTTATTGCATATTCTCTCTCTCTCTCTTTCTGTCTCTCATGCTCGCTTTTTCTCCATACTTCTCTATCTTGTTTGGTTTTGGCTTTTTGTGTCACACCCGGCAGTGCTCAGGGGTTATTCCTGGCTCTGCACTCAGGAATCACTCCTGGCAGTGCTTGGGGAACTGTATGGAAAGCCAGGAATCAACCCGGGTTGGCCACATGCAAGGCAAATTTCTTCCTGCTATACTATTGCTCCAGCCCCTGTTTCTCTATTTTGTTGTTGGTGTTGTTGGGCCACACACACCTGGCAATCCTCAAGGATCACCCCTGGCCAAAAATCCAGCAGTCCTAAGAACTTATTCTTGAGTCTTGGCTCAGAGATTGCTCCTGGCAGTGTTTGGGGGAACATATGTGGTACTGGGGATGGACCTAGGGTCAGCAGCATGCTATGGGATGCTGGGGATTGAACTAAATCAGTTGCAAATAAAGCAAGCACCCTACCAGCTATTTTATCACTCCACCTACTCTCCATAATTCTCTAGCACAGCGGGTAGGGCGTTTGCCTTGCACGCAGCCAACATGGCCGACCTGAGTTCGATTCCTCCGCCCCTCTCGGACAGCCCGGCAAGCTACCGAGAGTATTCGATATGCCAGACACAGTAACAACAAAGTCTCCAATGGAGACGTTACTGGGCCCGCTCGAGCAAATCGATGATCAACGGGAGGGCCTCGAGCAAATTATTTCATGTCACTGTTCATCTCCTGAAATTTTTTTTTTAATTTTTATAAGTGAAACACCATGAGGTACGGTTGTAGACTTACAACTTTTCGTACTTGGGTTTCAGCTATACAATGATCGAGTACCCATCCCTCCACCAGTGCCCATTCTCCACCACCACTGATCCCAGTATCCCTCCCCTTCTGAAATTGTTTTCTACGAGGAAGGATACAACCTGGAAATCCTAGGCAAAGGTTAGGGCTGACTTTTCGTTTCTGTAAAATGCAGTTCCCCACTCAAGCCTGAGTCCCCCAAGAACTTGAGTCATCGCGACCAGTTGCTGCACTACGTAGTCAAACGAACTATAGATCAGATGCAGCGAGGCAGGGAATCGTGACAGATTTCACCAGTCCTACCCCTCTTAGTGACCAAGATGACCAAGGTGGGCAATATAGAAAGTCACAAGCCATTCTCGAGTCTCAGCAGACTCCCTCAGACATGCCCAGTGCCTTTCAAAGCAGTAAGCAATCCTTTTACAACAAAGCAGGGAGTAGTGGGGAAAGCAACAAGCACCCACCCACCACTCCAAACACCCCTGAATGAGTGTGTGTGTGTGTGTGTGTGTGGGGTGTAAACAGACTTCCCGTAGAAGCAAAGGAAAGCTGACAGCAGCACGTACCACCTCTGCCAGCTATTTTGACCTTTGGGTGGAAGCACACTTAGGATGAGAATCCAGGCCAGCCTGACCTTGGCAATGCAGACGACTAGAGGCTGGCAAACACTATCACCCGAATTTATAACAGCACTGCTAGGAGCTACAGGTATACTGTAACACTGGCCTGCCTGATCTTGGTGACACAGCTAATGCCAAAACCTTGGAACGGCAAATGGTCAGTTGCAGTGTAGCTGCTACAGGTCACATGTGACCACACAATCCCCTGCCAGCATCCCGACCCTCACCACTTAAGCCTGCAGGCACATATTTGACATAGTAAGTGCGAGTATGTCATCAGTGCTCAGATCAGCATCTGCTTGGCTCTCTCCCCCTGCCCTCCCCCACCCTTTACATACCACCAGACATGATGAAGGAGTTCGGGGCCCCCAGCTGTTCTCAAGGCTTACTCCTGGCTCTGCAGTCAATCACTCGTGCAAGTGGTCGGGACCTTATGTGGTGCTAAGGATCAAACCCAGGTTGGCATGTGCAAGACGGACTGAAGGAATTTGCCCTTACAAAAAGCCAGAAAGGGCACCCAAATGATAGGACTTTACTAAACTGCCTGGAAAAGATTTCCAAGCATTGACATTTGGTGGGGAAAAAAAATCCGTGGAAGACAATATCTACAAGTTTGGAGAAAGTTTGAAAGAACATATGAAAAAACTCAGTGTATATGAATGAACTAAAAAGCATAACTGCGTTTTTTAAAAAATGCAGTAGGAGGCATTGGCAGCAAAATGAAAGAACCAAAAAGCTTGAACCTGCCTGGATTCAATCCCCAGCACCATGTATGGTCGCTGGAGCCCCACCAGGAGTAATCCCTGAGCACAGAGCTAGGAGTGAGCCCTGAGCACCACCAGTTTGTCCCCCCCCCCATCCCGCCCCCAAGGTAAAAGGTAAAAGGTAAAGGCCCTCCCGTTGATCATCGATTTGCTCGAGCGGGCCCAGTAACGTCTCCATTGGAGACTTTGTTGTTACTGTGTCTGGCATATCAAATACTCTCGGTAGCTTGCCGGGCTCTCCAAGAGGGGCGGAGGAATCGAACTCGGGTTGGCCATGTTGGCCGCTTGTAAGGCGAACGCCCTACCGCTGTGCTATCACTCCAGCCCGCCCCCAAAAAGAAACAAAAAGAGCTCAAGGTCTGATATGTAGTACAGGAGGTAAGGTGCATACCTTGTGTGTGACTGAACCCAATTTGATCCCCAGTACCTCATATGGGGCCCAAAGCATCTCCAGGGGTCACGTCTGAGCACAGAACAAGGACTATGCCCTGGGCACTGCTGTGTGTGGCTCAATGCCACCCCCCCCCA